ACACACAAATTATTTTTATGTTCACACAAATAATTATGAGAGATATCTATGCCAATATCTTAACATCCCGATAGCAATGAATATCTGAAGTGCTTTGACAAAAAAATCCATAAACAAATATCACCTCTGGAAGCCGTGAAGCTGTAAAAAGCACGACCAATCATCTGAGCCGGCTAAAGTAACTGGATGGCCTACTTGCCTGTCAGCCTTCCATCTGTGCACAAACTTATCTCGTGCCCTCATTGGTCATGTGCGCGTTCGTGTGTGTTGGAGGAGGGGCTCTGTAAGGAAGTGGCAGATTTGTTCCGGCTGTGTATTTTCAAATTCTAGCGCACTCGAGCTGGTTTCTCCAAAATGACCTACCCCACCTTTAAGTGATGCCTTTAATAAAACACTAACAATCTTACCTCCTAGCTATAGAGCCTTTTTGCCTACACCGATAACGAGATAACTTAAAATATCAAAGCCTTCACCAGTCCTGACAATCCTGCAAAAATAAGGTCAACCTTGGCAGCAGGTTACAGCCCTCAGAAATGTGATTCATTGCGCCAATAATAATAATAACTTTTTCTGATTTCAATAGATCTTATGCTCTCACTCTGGGTTTCTGGGTAAAAGGTTGCATTGTTGAAGCCATGGCGCTGTAGGTGCTCCAGGGTGGGTCGCTGCTGTTGGACTTTGGACAGACAAATTAACTTGTGATACTAATACTTTAAGTTAACTTAGCTGATTGTACTCTTTATTACTTCACTAAAGTATAATTGCAAGGGCAGGACCTTTTATATTTGGCAAAGTATTTAAAAATGTTGCAATCTCCAAAACAATTCATGGTATTATGGTATCATGGTGTTAGAATGCCGGAGCAGCCATGGAGGACAAATAGAAGAAGCAGGCAGGTTGGTGTTTTTCCACAGAAAACTGTTTTATTTTCTCAACCACTGTGACCACATGGCTGTCCTCCATCACCCACACAGTATACAACCCCTTCTCAACAACACTGACTGCCTTTTATAGGATGCCTCAGATCTTCATTGGCTGGCACATACCATTATCTTTATCCAAGCAAACTATTTAATACCACTATATACACATTTACTAAACATTTCCCCACCAATTTACCAATAATACACACATGAATAAAGCTATGACAATATACATTAATTAACTATATCTATGTGCAAAAAATGTCGAACTCCCCCCAGGAGACTACCACTTGCCGTTTCCCTCCCGGAACTATATTTCGAGGTGTGCGGGCCCGGGGGAACTATTTTGCCCGAACACCCGGGGAGAGAGAACAGACAGAGGTAAGTTTAATCATCACACAATAAATCACTAATTCACACGTTTACTTCATGAACAATCCCTCGCTACCCTTACTGTTAGCAATTCATGAATATGCGCATTTTAAACCGCATCCATTTCTTTACTCAGGCGAACAGCGAGCAGGAACGGCCCAGCGTCCGCGCCGCACGACACTCACACAACGATGCAATTCAATCAATTGTCAATAAACATATTCATACATTGATAAAGTGTGTTGTTTAAATCATGTGCCAATACTGTGTCAATATACCCTATAGTACAGTACAATGATTATATCAACGTGAGCTCTAGTAACGACGTCTCGTCGTTACACCTTGTTTTTTTACTCTGTAAAGAAGAGTACACAACAACACTGCCATCTGCTGGCAGCACATTTATAGTACTTATACTATACATTTCAGGTAGATATTGTACTGTGTTTCTATAGTATTATGTCTTACAATTGCACTTACCTTCCTAATTGAGATCCTTTGACTTGTAGATAAAGATTTTGCATATTCTAAGAGCAGTTTTAACCAAATTCAGCAACAACATTTAAATAAAAATAACATTATAAAGTGAAAGCAAGCAAAGAAATACAACAATTTGTCTGATAAATATTTCATTTCATACTTTTATATAACCTAACTAACTGATATACTTCTATTTCTGCACTAACTAACAACAATTGCAATAAAATACAAATATTTGATAAACGTTACATTCAATTTAGTCCAAGATTCACTCATGTCATTTTATAATGAAAAATCAAATGCATTTCTTTCTTTTTTGCAGCCTTCTTCTTATTCATGTTGTCTAGTTAGGTGCCATAGAGGACCTTTCTTATTTCACTAATTTCCCCTCCTCTCTCCTTGGTTCCCCTCCTCGATTCCTCCGCTCGCATCTCCTGTGGGCGGGACTAATGCTGCGTTCACACCGGACGCGATGCGATGTTTGGGGGCGGCGCGGTTACATGTCAAGTCAAATCCTGGTCCACTCATTCGTCACATCCCGGATTGATTACTGCAATGCACTTCTGACTGGCCTTCCCATCAAGCTCCTCAATAGACTGCAAATAATTCAGAACTCTGCTGCCCGGATCATCACCCGCACCAACTCATCCGACCACATCACCCCCATTCTCACTCAGCTACACTGGCTTCCTGTACGCTACCGTATTGACTACAAAAACATTCTACTCATATACAAAGCTGTCCATAACCTTGCCCCCATCTACATCACTGATCTCCTTCAGGAGTACACCCCCTCCCGCACCCTCTGCTCTTCGTCCGTAGGACTTCTCACCGTCCCAAGCTATCGCCTCAAAACCATGGGTGCTCGAGCTTTCAGCTGCTCGGCTCCCAGACTCTGGAACTCCCTGCCACGACACATCCGACAGTCTGATTCCATAACAACATTCAAAACCCAACTCAAAACCCACCTGTTCAAACTGGCATTTTCTTTATAATCTGTACCCTGTGTCCCTTTGTGTCCTTTTGTAGTCAATTTCCTGTTGTTTGTCTTGTCTCACCCCGGCTGATACTTCACTAAATCCACTGTTTTAATTTGTAAGGTAAAATTGTAAATGTAAATTGTAAATCTGTAACCCTGTAAGGTGTCCTTGGGTGTTATGAAAGGCGCCCCCCAAAATAAATGTATTATTATTATAATTATTAAGGCAGAGACGCGGACAGACGCAAATTCGCTCCGACGGCGAGCATGAAGCGGTTGATGCGAATATCGCGGCGCGATTGAGGCGATTGGAGGGGGCCGCGACAAACGCTCAAGTTCAATATTTTCAACTCGAGCGTCAAATTCCCGTGACGTGATCTCGCGGCAGCCAATCAGCGGTGAGGATCTCAGCCTGCCGTCACTGAAGTAGAACCACAAAACTAAAACATCAGCCGTTAGCACTCAGAGCTCACAGCTCCTCATATCTGTTCAGAAACTGGACACAAGTTAAACAAGTACAAACCACAGACTGTCTGTGTCATGGCGAATACAGTCACTGGTTTATTTATGTCTGTAGGCCGTTGTTATGAGTGTGGACGGAGCATATACAACGTTAGCTAAGCCTGGTCGACCCGATCTTCAATCAGAAAACACGCATTTTAAAAGGTTTTTAAAATGCGTGTTTTCTGAATGTTTTCTGAATGTTTGTCTGCAGACCGGTATCAGTATGTTGTTACTTCGGCACCATTTTGAAACGTGTATTACAATTCAATCACGGTAAAACATGTTTTGTTGTAGTTGTAGCTCCCGAGCCAGCGCGTCTTATTTGAATGATGCGAGTAAACCATGGAGTAAACACAGCTGACAGCCGCGATGAAACCCTAATGTTCCAGGGTACTCTAGAACAGTGGTTCCAAACCTTTTTTCCCAAGAGCAGTGGCGGTTCTAGACCAATTTGACTGGGGGGGCCACTGGGGGGCCAGTTATTTTCTGAGGGGGGCACAATAAATGCAGGACGAAAAAGAGAACTAGACAGTATGAAGTAATTGCGCATAAGAAAACAATGCAATACAGTTATTGGTATTTGTTTCAGTACACTTATTTATTTCAGATAGATCTTATAGTTATTACTGTTAGCTTCAGCTTAAGTTATAGTGCAATGTTTGCACTAACACCATATTTATATAAAAATAAAGACAATGAACAGTTACATCTCTACTTTACATAAGGGTGTCTGCACAATCTCACATTACAGCAACAAAATCCTGCGGTTTTTGGCAAACAGAAAATATACATTTTAAAAAAAAAACAAAAAAACTTTTCATTGTTAGGGGGGCCACAGGTCAGTGTTAGGGGGCCACTGCCCCCCCCCTAGAACCGCCCCTGCCCAAGAGCCCCCCCAAGGGCGCATAAGCGGTAATTCAAGTTTAAAAGTCTCAAAATGCTACAACTACTGTCACAAACTGGATGAATGTGAAGTATTTTGTTAAAGGAGGATGAAAGCGTAATTAAGGAGCACTATTGGAGTGACTTTCATGGTTATTGGACTCAGGATTAATTTATTTGGATTCCCGCTGTATGAAGAAATTAAAGGACGGCGCAAGTGGAAACAATTCACAAAGGGATTAAACTGTTGCTCAAAGTAAGCCGGATTTTGCCGATGTGTTTATGTGGATTCAAAAGTCGTAAATAATCTATAAAATGGAGGAGACCGATCTGATCGGAGCAACTGTGACAAATAATCCAACTGAAACCGGCATGGACAATGACTATGTTTTAAAAATGCGCTTATCCAGACAAGCCTGGTTTGGACACTTTATGGGCAGAAGAAACATTTATATTAAAGAAAGAATTATACATTTCTGTCTTTTTATGCCTTTAATACTAACTTGAATTTTTATTAAAAATTAATTAGTCAATTATTTTGTATATGTTATTGTAATGTAGAGACAAGGCTTTTAGTGACAATCATGTATTGCCTTACAATTATGTGTAAAAAAAAAGAAAGTCTAAATATGATATTTGGCCTCAAATCATCTGAGGCCTGGTGCCCCCCCTGCGATCTTTGGTGCCCCCCAGGTTGGGAACCACTGCTCTAGAAGGCCCGCTAGTTAACTGTCTCGAGACAGAGGATATAGATGAATGCGACGAAGCAATTCATGCCGTTTTATTGTTTTTAACGTTGAAATGACAAGTGCAACAGGTGAAGTTGTTGCGGAATTGTTGTGAGTACCCTTTTCAAGCGGGGGGTGGGGTGTGTACAGAAGGTCCAGTTGTGATAGACGGTTCGCCGGTATACCGGCGGGCCAGATTTGGCCCCCGGGCCTTGAGTTTGACATTTGTGGTTTAGACGATATCCGTTTAATCACTGACAATCTGACCAAAGATAACAAATCAGTATTACATGTGTTATCCCTCACAGTGACTCCTCTCATGTGGAACATTTACAAAAAGGCAAGAGGAAACGTGAGGGACACAATATGAAGAGGGAAGTCCCCACAAAAAGTATCTTCTGAGAACAGTGACTACATTTCAGAGGTTCCGCCCACTGATCTCCGACCTTGTCAGGTATTGAACATTCAATAAATGAAGAATACAGAATTATTAAATATAAAACACAGAATGTGTGTGATTATACTTAATTATTTACACATAAACACCACTACATATTCACAACTGTTACACTTGTACTTGAGTACAAGTAGTAGTACTCAGATCTTGTAGGCTACTTGAGTAAAAGTAGAAGTACTCAGATCTTGTACTTGAGTAAAAGTAGAAGTTTTTTTTAAAAGTCCATTCATATTCTGGGAGAATAGAGTAACAGATGCAATAAATGCAGCAGGGTTAATAATCCAGAAACACACATATATAATAGGGAACAATTGAATGCACAGTTAACACTAGAGTACTTAAATACCTCAACACTTTAACTTCAGTGAGGTTTTGAATGCAGGATGTTTACTGGGTTATTTCCACACTGGTATTCATGTTTTCAATAACTTGGTTGAGCTTGTTTTTAGCTCTATCTCAATGAACAGAGTCCCTGGATGTGAACTGGTTCAGCTGATAAGGCTGGTTATAACACAAAGGGAGGAGCTGCAGACAGGGAGGGAAGTTGAAAGTGAAAGTAGTAAGACTGCCAGACAGCCAGACGCCATTTTACAGCTCACGGAGCAGAAGGAGAACAACGGGGTGAGTGTAAACACCAAGATCTGCTTTTTAAAAGATTCATTATTTACTCTGTTAGACTGATAACATAACTTCTCTGTTAAAAATCAGCGTCCTAGAGTCCAATGAGACTTCTGCAAACTCTTTGTATTTCCTGTTTGCTGCTCCGTCAGAGTTACAGAACATGTGACAGCGCAGTCAAAATGGAGGCCTGTCTGAAGTCTGACTGATTTGATGTTTTTAACCAAGTTTATTACTATGATGGTTTGGATTGAAAAAAGCGTGTTATTATACTGTTTGTGTGCGTGCGTGTGTGTGTGTGTGTGTCTACTGGTGTATCTCTCAGACTGGAGAAGATGAGTGATTTAAAAGATGAGGAAGAGGACACACCTTCAGTCTCCAGCTGTCTGTCTCTGAAGAGTGACCGGTCTAAAGGCTGGTTTCCAGACTTCAGAAATGAACCTGGACCCTCAGACACAGAGTAAGAGTTTCTGCTGTAAACTGACCTGAAGAGGATTCAGCTTTTATACAACCTGATATATTAAGGATATTTCAATATGCAATCATAGTATCATTGCATCTGTGGCATAACATGGTTTTAAATGGCACACATATTGATACAAACTAACTAAAAACTAAATATATCGTCTAAAACATTATTCACTACTTGGGTATGTTTATGTATTATTAAGATGTTTATTAATAATAGTGATAACCTGGTGAGCTGGTTGTGTTTGGCATTATCAGATATTAGGGGTGGGGGAAATAATCCATACAGCATAGTATCGCGATACTTTGCGTGGCGATATTGTATCGATACACGGATGCCAAGTATTAAAAAAAATATATAAACTGTAGCATATCCAAAAGATGGTCGTATATAAAACAGGAAGTTACGTTAAGACATGAATACAATTGCAATGAAAATAACAAAAACAATGCCATCTCCTTTTCAGGTTCTAATAACACAAATTGAGTTATTTACATAAACTATTGATTTTGCAAATACATGTTTTAACCAGGAAGGGAAGACGGACATGGATACGACCCATGTGATTTGCAATATATCGTATCGCAATACTTAGCATATCGTAGAATCACAATACTATCGTATCGTGGCTTAAGTATCGCAATAGTATCGTATTGTGGGGAGCCTGGTGATTCCCAGCCCTAGCAGATATAATAATAATAAATTAGATAACATGTGACAGCGCAGTCAAAATGGAGGCCTGTCTGAAGTCTGACTGATTTGATGTATTTTAACCAAGTTTATTACTATGATGGTTTGGATTGAAAAAAGCGTGTTATTATAATGTGTGTGTGTGTGTGTGTGTGTGTGTCTGTGTGTGTATCTCTCAGACTGGAGAAGATGAGTGATTTAAAAGATGAGGAAGAGGACACATCTTCAGTCTCCAGCTGTCTGTCTCTGAAGAGTGACCGGTCTATAGGGCAACCTCTAAGCTTCAGAAATGAACCTGGACCCTCAGACACAAAGTAAGAGTTTCTGCTGTAAACTGACCTGAAGAGGATTCAGCTTTTATACAACCTGATATATTAAGGATATTTCAATATGCAATCATAGTATCATTGTATCTGTGGCATAACATGGTTTTAAATGGCACAAATATTGATAAATACTAACTAAAAACTAAATATATCGTCTAAAACATTATTCACTACTTGGGCATGTTTATGTATTATTAAGATGTTTATTAATAATAGTGATAACCTGGTGAGCTGGTTGTGTTTGGCATTAGCAGATATTAGGGGTGGGGGAAATAATCCATACAGCATAGTATCACGATACTTTTGCGTGGCGATATTGTATCGATACACGGATGCCAAGTTTTTAAAAATATATAAACTGTAGCATATCCAACAGATGGTCGTATATAAAACAGGAAGTTACGTTAAGACATGAATACAATTGCAATGAATGTAACAAAAACAAAGCCATCTCCTTTTCAGGTTCAAAGAACACACATTGGGTTATTTACATAAACTATTGATTTTGCAAATACATGTTTTAACCAGGAAGGGAAGACGGACATGGATACGACCCATGTGATTTGCAATATATCGTATCGCAATACTTAGCATATCGTAGAATCACAATTCCTATCGTATCGTGGCTTAAGTATTGCAATAGTATCGTATTGTGGGGAGCCTGGTGATTCCCAGCCCTAGCAGATATAATAATAATAAATTAGATAACATGTGACAGCGCAGTCAAAATGGAGGCCTGTCTGAAGTCTGACTGATTTGATGTATTTTAACCAAGTTTATTACTATGATGGTTTGGATTGAAAAAAGCGTGTTATTATTGTGTGTGTGTGTGTGTGTGTGTGTGTGTGTGTGTGTGTGTGTGTGTGTGTGTGTGTGTGTGTGTGTGTGTGTGTGTGTGTGTGTGTGTGTGTGTGTGTGTGTGTGTGTGTGTGTGTCTGTGTGTGTATCTCTCAGACTGGAGAAGATGAGTGATTTAAAAGATGAGGAAGAGGACACATCTTCAGTCTCCAAGCTGTCTCTGAAGAGTGACCGGTCTATAGACTGGTTTCAAGACTTCGGAAATGAACCTGGACCCTCAGACACAAAGTAAGAGTTTCTGCTGTAAACTGACCTGAAGAGGATTCAGCTTTTATACAACCTGATATATTAAGGATATTTCAATATGCAATCATAGTATCATTGTATATGTGTCATAAAATGGTTTTAAATGGCACAAATATTGAGAAATACTCACTAAAAACTAAATATATCGTCTAAAACATTATTCACTACTTGGGCATGTTTATGTATTATTAAGATGTTTATTAATAATAGTGATAACCTGGTGAGCTGGTTGTGTTTAGCATTAGCAGATATTAGGGGTGGGGGAAATAATCCATACAGCATAGTATCGCGATACTTTGCGTGGCGATATTGTATCGATACACGGATGCCAAGTTTAAAAAAATATATAAACTGTAGCATATCCAACAGATGGTCGTATATAAAACAGGAAGTTACTTTAAGACATGAATACAATTGCAATGAATGTAACAAAAACAATGCCATCTCCTTTTCAGGTTCAAAGAACACACATTGAGTTATTTACATAAACTATTGATTTTGCAAATACATGTTTTAACCAGGAAGGGAAGACGGACATGGATACGACCCATGTGATTTGCAATATATCGTATCGCAATACTTAGCATATCGTAGAATCACAATACTATCGTATCGTGGCTTAAGTATTGCAATAGTATCGTATTGTGGGGAGCCTGGTGATTCCCAGCCCTAGCAGATATAATAATAATACATTATATTTATATAGCGCTTTTCTGGAATTCAAAGACGCTTATGAGGGAGGGTAGACAAACAAGGACAGGCAAAACAAAACATATATATAACGTTTTTTGTGAGATTACATGTAGAGTCAATGTAAAACCCAGATCTGTGCCTGGGAACACACAGGAAGTGAAGATGTGAAATTCGTGTCACCTGCATATTCGTGCAGCGTGAAACATTTAATCTTGAGTGTAAAGTGACGCTCTGCCCATTGGTGAGGATCAGCTCCACTAATGTAGAGTGCTATAAAGGATGTGTTCATCTCCACAGAGGGAAGAGGAGGAGTCCTGCCAGGCAGACCAGAACTGCACGAGGTAAGAGGCCGAACTCATGCAGCACTTTATTCCTCTTCCTAGTTCATTTGTATACTGTTGTAGAGCATAGACAGTAAGCTGTTTATAAAACATTTAAACTCAGTTTTTTAATTAGATTCTCAGAGCATGTTCCTGATTCTCTCCTGTTTCCTTCTCTTTCAGCAGAGAGTGGTCTGCAGGAGGTTCTAGATGAACATAGGCTCAGTCTGAGGAGGAGATGTGAACGTGTGACTGAAGGAACTGATCAAAGTGAAACCCTCCTCAACAGCATCTTCACTGAGCTCTACATCACACAAGGCCAGAGTGAAGAGGTTAATACCCAGCATGAGGTGAGGCAGCTGGAGACAGCTTCCAAGAAGATGAACCTCCATGACACTCCCATCAAGTACAGGGACATCTTTAAAGCCTCACCTGACCAACAGACTCTCATCAGAGCGGTCCTGACCAACGGAGTCGCTGGAGTTGGAAAGACCTTCTCAGTGCAGAAGTTCACTCTGGACTGGGCCGAGGGTTTGGGAAACCAAGATGTCAGTCTGGTGATCCCGCTCTCCTTCAGGGAGCTGAACCTGATCAAAGGTGAGCAGTACAGTCTTCTCAGGCTGCTCCATGTTTTCCATCCAACCTTACAGAAGGTCACAGCAGAGCAGCTGGCTGTCTGCAAAGTGCTGCTCATCTTTGACGGCCTGGATGAGAGCAGACTTTCTCTGGACTTCAGAAACAATGAGGTTGTGTCTGATGTCTCACAGCAGTCCTCAGTCAACGTGCTGCTGACAAACCTCATCAGGGGGAAGCTGCTTCCCTCGGCTCTCGTCTGGATAACTTCCAGACCTGCAGCGGCCAATCAGATCCCTCCTGAGTGTGTGGACAGGGTAACAGAAGTACGAGGCTTCACTGACGCCCAGAAGGAGGAGTACTTCAGGAGGAGATCAAGTGATGAAGACCTGTCCAGCAGAATGATCTCTCACATCAAGAGCTCCAGGAGCCTCCACATCATGTGTCTGATCCCAGTCTTCTGCTGGATCACTGCTGCAGTTCTGGAACACATGTTGACTACAGACCAGAGAGGAGAGCTGCCCCAGACCCTCACTGACATGTACTCACACTTCCTGCTGGTCCAGACCAAGAGGAAGAAGCAGAAGTATGAAGAGGGACATGAGACGAGTCCACAGCAGCTGACGGAGGCTGACAGGGAGCTTCTTCTGAAGCTGGGGAGGCTGGCGTTTGAACATCTGGAGAAAGGAGACATCATGTTCTACCAAGAAGACCTGCAGCGCTGTGGCCTTGGTGTCACCGAGGCCTTGGTGCACTCAGGAGTTTGTACAGAGATCTTCAAAAGAGAGAGAGTGATCTTCCAGAAAACAGTCTACTGCTTTGTTCATCTGAGCGTTCAGGAGTTTCTGGCTGCAGTCTACTTGTTCCACTGTCACACCAACAGAGACACAGCGGTACTGAAGGACTTCCTGCAGAGTGATCAGGATTACTCATCCCTGGATGTCTTCCTGAAGGGAGCCATGGAGAAATCCCTCAGAAGTGAAAATGGCCACCTGGACCTGTTTGTCCGCTTTCTCCACGGCCTCTCTCTGGAGTCCAACCAGAGACTGTTAGGAGGCCTGCTGGGTCGCACAGACATCAGACCAGAAACCATCCAGAGTGCCATCAGCAACCTGAAGGAGATGAGCAGTGATGAAATCTCTCCTGACAGGAGCATCAACATCTTCCACTGTCTGACAGAGATGAAGGACCACTCATTAACTCAGGAGATCACAGAGTTCCTGAAGTCAGAGAACAGATCAAAGAAGGAACTCTCTGTGATCCACTGCTCTGCTCTGGCCTACATGCTGCAGATGTCTGAGGAGGTTCTGGATGAGTTGGACCTAAAGAAGTACAACACATCAGCGGAGGGACGACGGAGACTGATTCCAGCTGTGAGGAACTGCAGGAAGGCCAAGTGAGTCAGATGTGATTCACTTTATAAACTAATGAGGATCAGGAGTTTAATTATTCAAATGAACACGATAACATTTCTGCTGTTTAAATACTGAGAGCAAAATAAACCATCACTGTTCTTCTATTTATTTATAATAATAGTTAAACTGAAGCGTTCCTCTCTTCATGTTGAGTGAAGGAGGCGACATGTCAAACACATGAAGGACTCTAGAGGTTTCTCAGCATGTGATCACAGCACACAGCAGGACTCACAGTTATCACAGAAAGCACTTATTACTTTCTAGTAGTTTCTTTATCATTAAGACACACACGTTTTTATCACAATGTGTTGGAGTTTAAAATAAGATCTAAATCATTTCCCACCAATAACAGAGTTAAGTCTTAATGCTGATATTCTGGGAACATCTGATGGTATTCAGTTGAACATATTGAAACGTCATTGCTTTGTTAATTGTGTTTGTGTGTGCAGTAAATGTTCAGATGCTCAGAGAAGCCAAAACATCCTCCATCATTCATTCACATCCACATCTAAATATGTACATCTCTAACATTGTGATTTATTTAATGTTCCTGTTTCTTTGGTAACAGCCAGTGACAGCAGGAGCACAGACATGTGATCAGATCACACTGACAACTCATTACACTCTATTATTATACATCATATTAAATGGACTAACAGCAAATGTCTATCAGAATATGTCAAATATGTTTTCATCAAATGCAATGTTTCCTCTTTTTAACACATGTTGTAATTTATATGTTATTATAGACTCACTGGCTGTGGACTCTCAGAGACTGAATGTGAAGTCCTGGCCTCAGCTCTGAAGTCTGACTCCTCCCATCTGAGAGATCTGGACCTGAGTAACAACGCTCTGAAGGACTCAGGAGTGGAGCGTCTGAGTTCTGGACTAAAGAGTCCAAACTGCAGACTGGAGACTCTCAGGTCAGTTCACTGACTGCAGTTCATACAGATCTGTTTGTGTTTATGATTTCCTGAAAGAACAAATAGATTATTGTTATTTTGTCCACTTTGCTAATGACTGAATATTGATCAGAGTAACAGAGAGAGGTGAATGTGTGAGGGAGAGAGTCTGAGCTTCCACAGACTCACTCTGAGCTCCAGGAGTCAGTGGAGATGCTGTCAGGACTGATGAGCTGTGAGGGAGAGGAAGGAGTTGATAAACATCTGATCAAAGTTAGAGTTCCAGATCATCAGTGGATTGTTTCTAAATCATCTCTGACATCAACTAGGGATGGCAATTTGAAAGTAAATGTATGTTCGAATATTCGACCCCCAAAAAACGGTTAACCGAATATTCGAAATGTACAAATCCAATAATATATATATATGTTTTTAAATGTTAAAAATATATTTTTAATAAACACATCTTTGTTTGTCGTGTAGGACTCTGCGTTAGAGAGTAACGTTCAGGGGTTAAGTTGGTGTTTGATATGTGAGGGGGCTCTCTGTATCAAGCACAAGTACGGGCACGAGCAAAAATAGGACTCAAGAGCACAACCAGGCAATAAGGTCTTTAGTCAAGCGTTTAATCCAAAAGGTAAAAATAAAACAGGCAATGATCAAAAAATGTACTGACTTGAAGTAACAAAAAAACAACCAACTAGGTTGGTACAAATGCTAAGCAGCTAGAACAATAGCTTACGTCAGAAGAGAAACATGGAGCACCTTCTGCTATACAGACAAGACGAACTGGCACTGACCAAGGAAACAGCACAGACTAAATACACAGGTGAGGAGTGATCATTAGGGACAGCTGAGGCTCATTGAGACCAGGCAGGTGATTAACAGGGAGCGAAAATACACAGGTGAGGGAGTGAGGCGATCAGCCAGGGCCAGGATGTGACAGTACCCCCCCCTCAACGACCGGCACCGGACGGTCCAGGCTCGTTTGGATGATGCCTGTGGAAATCCCGGATGAGGTCTGGGTCGACAATGTTCTTTGAAGATACCCATTCCCTCTCCTCAAGACCATAGCACTCCCAATCCCCCAGATACTGGCGTCCACGACCCCGCCGGCGAGTCGCCAAGAGCCGCTTGACAGAATAAACTGGCCCTCCATCGATGAACCGGGGGGGCGGTGGGGGTCTGGAGGCAGGAACCAGAGGGCTCTCTTTGACCGGCTTGATCCGAGCCACATGGAACGTTGGGTGTGACCTCATGGACCTGGGAAGCTTGAGTCTCACAGCAACAGGATTAATAATCTTTGAGACAGGGAAGGGACCAACAAAGCGAGGCGCCAACTTACGGGACTCGACTCGAAGAGGAAGATCCTGAGTGGAGAGCCATACTCTCTGGCCGACACGATAGGTGGGAGCAGGGATCCGTCGGCGGTAGGGTTGGGAACCGAAACTCGGTTCCAGATGAGAACCGATAAGAAAATGCCGGGTACCGGGTACCCATACAAAATACACAATTTCGGTTCTGCTTAACGGTTCCTAAACGCGGTAGACCCTGTATTCCAGCGGGTCCGTCTGCACCGCGGTGCTGCGGTGACCCGGTGGAATACAGGGCGGACCTGGAGAATCACAGAACGGCCGGTCGTCAGCGGGCCGTTGACGGCCGGCTCCGTACGCTGACGGCCGGCACCGCCCTTCATTTTTTTAAACGGCATCATATAAATTGCGCTGACAGGCGACAGAGGTCCACAGTTGCCCCGCAGCGATGCTCCCCCGCCCTCCCGTAGACATTTCACGAGCTCAGTCACTTCATAACACCAAAGATAGGTCGCGGTAAACACTCTGAAGTGAGGCTCCACTACACTAAAAAATAAAAATAAAAGGCAAAGTGTAATGCCTGTTAATAGCTTGCCACAGGCATAGCTCAGTTAAAATAAAGCACAGCTATTGTGCAATACATTTGTATTGCATGTATATTTTTTAGTAACAATTTCAGTTAAAGCTTTTAAGAATAAATATATTTTTGTTATCTAAACGTTTGACCTCTTTATTTTACAATTTTGGAATCGAAACGGGGAATCGATAAGAACCGGAATCGATAAGCAGAACCGGAATCGAAATCGGAATCGATAAATTTCAAACGATACCCATCCCTAGTCGGCGGTCTGCTGCCCTCTTGTACCGAGTAGACGTCCTAAGCAGCACTTGTCTAGCCCCAGTCCAGATGCGACGGCACCTCCGAATCAGTGCCAAGGCAGAAGGAACCCTGACCTCTCCCTCCAGGGACGGAAACAGGGGTGGTTGGTAGCCATAAGCACACTGAAATGGGGAAAGACCAGTAAAAGAGCAAGGCAATGTGTTGTGCGCATACTCAACCCAGATAAGATTCTTACTCCAAGTAGTGGGGTTCTGAGAGACGAGACAGCGCAGACCGGTCTCTAACTCCTGGTTGAGCCGCTCGGTCTGTCCGTTGGACTGAGGGTGATGGCCGGAGGAGAGGCTAACGGTGGCCCCCAGGAGAGCGCAGAACTCCTTCCAAAACTTGACGAACTGGGGACCCCGATCCGACACAACATCTTTAGGGAAGCCATGTAACCGGAAAACATTGGACAGGACAACCTCCGCCGTTTCCTTGGCAGAGGGTAACTTGGGGTGTTAAAAGCAGTTTTCCATTCATCCCCCTCCCTTATTCTCACCAGACGATAAGCATTTCTAAGATCTAACTTGGTAAAGATCTTAGCACCTTGTAACTGGTCGAAAGCTGATGACATAAGAGGAAGGGGATACCTGTTCTTGATGGTAATGTCGTTCAAACCTTGATAGTCAATGCAGGGGCGAAGTGACTTGTCCTTCTTTGCCACAAAGAAAAATCCGGCTCCAGCGGGAGAGGAAGAAGGTCTAATTAATCCAGCGGAAAGTGAAGACTCCACATATTCCTTCATCGCCCGTGTCTCTGGAGCAGATAGGGAATAAAGACGACCCCTGGGTGGTCAAGAGCCTGGTAACAAGTCTATAGCACAATCGTACACACGATGAGGGGCAGCGAGGTGGCTCTGGCCTTGTTAAAAACCTCCTTAAGGTCATGGTAACACTGAGGGACCTTGGAAATGTCAGGGTAATCAGGATCTGACATGTCTTGAATTACAGGGACAGCTGGAGGAGCAGTCAGGGAACATTTGGATGGAAAACAGGTACTTAAACATCCCTTACTTACACCAAGCAATAATCTTGCCAGTGGACCAGTCTATGTGGGGGTTGTGTAGGGTAAGCCAGGGGTACCCCAAAATGATTGGGTGTTCCGGGGACCGAAAAACATGAAAGACGAGAAGCTCAGTGTGACCGTCCTGGAAACTTAGCTGAAGAGGTTGGGTGTGGTGAGTTACCCTACAGAGAAGACGGCCATCCAAGGCACTTGCTTCCATTGGTCTTGGAAGGGGAAAGGTCTCAAGGTTCAACTTCTTAGCCAACTCAAAGTCTATAAAACTGGCATCTGAGCCAGAGTCTACCAAAACAGGATGCCTAAGAACCACAGAAGACGAAGACAGAGTGACATTTGGGAGACAACGTGAGGGACTAACATTAAGTGTAGTGCGGCTCACCAGTGCCCTCTTCTTACTGGCGAGCCAGATCTTTTAGTAGGCGACAGTTGGTGACTGAGTGTCCCCGTTCACCACAGTAGAAGCACCTGCCCTCCCGCAGGCGGCGCTGTCGCTCCTCGGGAGTCAGCTTGGTCCTGCCGAGCTGCATGGGCTCCTCCGGAACAGCAGGGGGCGACAGAGGCCCAGTAGACGGAAGCCAGGGCCTGGGGTGATTCCATGAGGACAAAGAGCTGGGCGAAGACTGCCTCTTGTGGGAGAAATAGGGAATCGCAGTGTCTCTCTCTTGCTCCCTCTCTATCAGTCGCTTGTCAATCTTAATAGTCAATGAAATTAGGGAGTCCAAATCAGCTGGAAGCTCAAGGGGAGCCAACTGATCCTTTAATGTGCCGGACAATCCATAAAGGAAAGCATCAAACAATGCTGATTGGTTCCAGTCACTGTCCGCTGCCAGGGTACGGAACTTTATAGCATAGTCAGAAACCCTCTGCTTACCCTGGCGTAATCCAACGAGTGCTCTGGCTGCCTCCCGCCCTGGTGGGATGTGCTGGAAGATCTTGGTGAAGGTCTCAGAGAAGAGATCAAGGGAGTCACAAACAGGAGACCTTCTCACCGACTCTGCCGTTGCCCAAGCCTCCGCTCGGCCAGAAAGGTGGGAGACAATGTATGCCACCCTTGAGTGCTCAGATGGGTAGCATGCAGCCTGGAGTTCAAAGTGGAGGCCGCACTGAGCCAGGAAAGCCCGACAATCACCGGAATCCCCAGAAACCGCTCTGGTCGGGAGAGGTGAAGGGACAGGGTCGGAGTTGGAGACTGGACTGGTGTAGGATCCACTGGGAAAACAGGCAATGGAGCAGCTGGAGGACTTGGCTGGAGTAATAGTCTTTGGATATTTTCGACCAAATAACAGACTTGCCCACCAAAAGACGACAAAACAGACTCCTGTCTCTCGGCCATCAACTTTAATTCCTGGCGAAGCCCGCTAAGTTCCTGCTTTTGGTGGTAAATCCTGCTCCCTTGACTCTGAAGAGCAGTCCGCACAGAATCCTGGTCGGCTGAGTCCATGCTGGCCAGTTCGTACTATCAAGCACAAGTATGGGCACGAGCAAAAATAGGACTCAAGAGCACAACCAGGCAATAAGGTCTTTAGTCAAGCGTTTAATCCAAAAGGTAAAAATAAAACAGGCAATGATCAAAAAATGTACTGACTTGAAGTAACAAAAAAACAACCAACTAGGTTGGTACAAATGCTAAGCAGCTAGAACAATAGCTTACGTCAGAAGAGAAACATTGAGCACCTTCTGCTATACAGACAAGACGAACTGGCACTGACCAAGGAAACAGCACAGACTAAATACACAGGTGAGGAGTGATCATTAGGGACAGCTGAGGCTCATTGAGACCAGGCAGGTGATTAACAGGGAGCGAAAATACACAGGTGAGGGAGTGAGGCGATCAGCCAGGGCCAGGATGTGACACTCTGTGGAGGTGCGAGGGTTTATATTAAATTATTAATATATAAACAAAAGGTTTAGAAATATCCAACCTTCAAATGACTATTTTAAATCAACGTTGCTCTGCACACTTGCTGAAGATCATTTGTGTGGAGATCTCAGTTCATTTGTAGAGCTGCTCGAGTATAGCACACACACACACACACACACACACACACACACACACACACACACACACACACACACACACACACACACACACACACACACACCACACACACACACACACACACACACACACACACACACACACACACACACACACACACACACACGCACACACACACATATGGACCTTAAATAAAGTCTTTATTAAGAACGAGAAAAGTTTTAACATATATATAGTTTTTAGTAAACATGTGAGAAATGTGCGAGGGTGATGACGTCAGAGCATCGTCCTCTGGGCTGAGCCCTGGAAACGTTACACGTGTTTTTTTGTTGTTGATATTTTTCTTAAGATATTTAAAATGGCACGGTCGTAAACATTGAATTAATCCATTTGATAATATGTAATCAACTTAGGCACCCTCCCATAGAAACAATAATCATTACAATACAGATATTCATAACTCATATTCCAATACCTGAATCATTTTGAATATTGGATGAATCATTCCCATCCCTAATTCAAACCCTGTTTGACTCTGATCAGATTATTAAACCTGGAGTTATTTCTAACAGGAACTTTGTTTTCTAAAGTTACATCATGTTTTCTTTATTCAGACTGAGGGACTGCAGTTTGTCAGAGATCAGCTGTTCTGCTCTGGCCTCAGCTCTGAAGTCCAACATCCATCTGAGAGATCTGGACCTGAGTAAGAACTGTCTGCAGGATTCAGGAGTGGAGCTGCTGAGAGATCTTCTGGAGAGTCCAGACTGCAGACTGAAGTCTCTCAGGTCAGTTCACTGACTGCAGTTCATACAGATCTGTTTGTGTTTAGGATTTCCTGAAAGAACAAATAGAATATTATTGTTATTTTGTCCACTTTGCTAATGACTGAATATTGATCAGAGTAACAGAGAGAGGTGAATGTGTGAGGGAGAGAGTCTGAGCTTCCACAGACTCACTCTGAGCTCCAGGAGTCAGTGGAGATGCTGTCAGGACTGATGAGCTGTGAGGGAGAGGAAGGAGTTGATGAACATCTGATCAAAGTTAGAGTTCCAGATTATCAGTGGATTGTTTCTAAATCATCTCTGACATCAACTAGGGATGGCAATTTGAAAGTAAATGTATGTTCGAATATTCGACCCCCAAAAAACGGTTAACCGAATATTCGAAATGTACAAATCCAATAATATATATATATGTTTTTAAATGTTAAAAAAAATATATTTTTAATAATAAATACATTTGTGTTTCTCGTGTAGGACTCTCCGTTAGAGAGTAACGTTCAGGGGTTAAGTTGGTGTTTGATATGAGGGGGGGCTCTCTGTGGAGGTGCGAGGGTTTATATTAAATTATTAATATATAAATAAAAGGTTTAGAAATATCCAACCTTCAAATGACTATTTTAAATCAACGTCGCTCTGCACACTTGCTGAAGATCATTTGTGTGGAGATCTCAGTTCATTTGTAGAGCTGCTCGAGTATAGCACACACACACACACACACACACACACACACACACACACACACACACACACACACACACACACACACACACACACACACACACACACACACACACACACACACACACACACACACACACACACACACACACACACACATATGGACCTTAAATAAAGTCTATATTAAGAACGAGAGAAGTTTTAACATATATATAGTTTTTAGTAAACATGTGAGAAGTGTGCGAGGGTGATGACGTCAGAGCATCGTCCTCTGGGCTGAGCCCTGGAAACGTTACACGTGTTTTTTCGTTGTTGATATTTTTCTTAAGATATTTAAAATGGCACGGTCGTAAACATTGAATTAATCCATTTGATAATATGTAATCAACTTAGGCACCCCTCCCATAGCAACAATAATCATTACAATACAGATATTCATAACTCATATTCCAATACCTGAATCATTTTGAATATTGGATGAATCATTCCCATCCCTAATTCAAACCCTGTTTGACTCTGATCAGATTATTAAACCTGGAGTTATTTCTAACAGGAACTTTGTTTTCTAAAGTTACATCATGTTTTCTTTATTCAGTCTGAGGAGCTGCTGGTTGTCAGAGATCAGCTGTTCTGCTCTGGCCTCAGCTCTGAAGTCCAACATCCATCTGAGAGATCTGGACCTGAGTCTCAACGCTCTGAAGGATTCAGGAGTGGAGCTGCTGGGAGATCTTCTGGAGAGTCCAGACTGCAGACTGGAGACCCTCAGGTCAGTGAGGGGTCTCTGCTGGTTCAGCAGTATTGTATGAAACTCAGGGAGGTGTTTCTCTCTCTGGGGAACAGATCAGTGATGTTACCCACTGACTGCAGGCTCTTCCATTCTTCCATCAACTAGAGAAGGCCAGCTGGAAATGCAAAGCCTCACTTTAGTAATCTACTCTCTGACAGACATGTGGGGTTTACAGAAGAGAGGGAAAGGTAGTCTGTTCTTTATTTTAATGTTTTTTATGTGATGTTTTCAGTTTGTAGACTAATGGCTGGTATGTCATCACATCTGGATGTCATCATGCTACCATGAGCAGCTGGTTAGCTTGACTCAGCAAACAGATGGGGAAACAGCTGGCCTGGCTTCGTCTGGTTTTTGTTCTTTATCCTTTAATTTTCACACAATTGTTAATTTGAGCAATGCTGACTTTAATAAATATGTAAATCAGGATCACAAGAGAAACAGACGAGCTGACTCTCCTCCAACATATGTCTTTCTATACATTATGAATAATCACGCAAACATAACATCTAGTCAAATGATGTTCTCCTCAAATGCATGGGTCTATCCCCCAGAGAAGGACTTCCAGCAGCTCTGCAGTCACAGAGCAGAGTAAGGGAGCCATGCCTCCCACAGAGCCTACCACAGTGTGCCTCTGGGATGTGATTGAGTGTTGAAGTTATTCACCTTTGGTTATGGACCAATCTTGGTGCTCCACCCCTTTTTGCCAGTTGTACCTGACCTACCAGAAAGGCAACCTTAAGAGCTGAGATGAGATATAACAGACTCCCTCTGAGCTCCATGAGTCAGTGGAGATACTGTAAAAACAAATATATATATTTTAATAATAAACACATTTGTGTTTGTCGTGTAGGACTCTCCGTTAGAGAGTAACGTTCAGGGGTTAAGTTGGTGTTTGATATGTGGGGGGGGCTCTCTGTGGAGGTGTGAGGGTTTATATTAAATTATTAATATATAAACAAAAGGTTTAGAAATATCCAACCTTCAAATTACTATTTTAAATCAACGTTGCTCTGCACACTTGCTGAAGATCATTTGTGTGGAGATCTCAGTTCATTTGTAGAGCTGCACGAGTATAGCACACACACACACACACACACACACACACACACACACACACACACACACACACACACACACACACACACACACACACACACACCACATACACACACACACACACACACACACACACACACACACACACACACACACACACACACACACACACACATGGACCTTAAATAAAGTCTATATTAAGAACGAGAGAAGTTTTAACATATATATAGTTTTTAGTAAACATGTGAGAAGTGTGCGAGGGTGATGACGTCAGAGCATCGTCCTCTGGGCTGAGCCCTGGAAACGTTACACGTGTTTTTTTGTTGATGATATTTTTCTTAAGATATTTAAAATGGCACGGTCGTAAACATTGAATTAATCCATTTGATAATATGTAATCAACTTAGGCACCCCTCCCATAGAAACAATAATCATTACAATACAGATATTCATAACTCATATTCCAATACCTGAATCATTTTGAATATTGGATGAATCATTCCCATCCCTAATTCAAACCCTGTTTGACTCTGATCAGATTATTAAACCTGGAGTTATTTCTAACAGGAACTTTGTTTTCTAAAGTTACATCATGTTTTCTTTATTCAGACTGAGGGGCTGCATGTTGTCAGAGATCAGCTGTTCTGCTCTGGCCTCAGCTCTGAAGTCCAACCTCCATCTGAGAGATCTGGACCTGAGTCACAACACTCTGCAGGATTCAGGAGTGGAGCTGCTGAGAGATCTTCTGGAGAGTCCAGACTGCAGACTGAAGACCCTCAGGTCAGTTCACTGACTGCAGTTCATACAGATCTGTTTGTGTTTAGGATTTCCTGAAAGAACAAATAGAATATTATTGTTATTTTGTCCACTTTGCTAATGACTGAATATTGATCAGAGTAACAGAGAGAGGTGAATGTGTGAGGGAGAGAGTCTGAGCTTCCACAGACTCACTCTGAGCTCCAGGAGTCAGTGGAGATGCTGTCAGTCCTGATGAGCTGTGAGGGAGAGGAAGGAGTTGATGAACATCTGATCAAAGTTAGAGTTCCAGATTATCAGTGGATTGTTTCTAAATCATCTCTGACATCAACTAGGGATGGCAATTTGAAAGTAAATGTATGTTCGAATATTCGACCCCCAAAAAACGGTTAACCGAATATTCGAAATGTACAAATCCAATAATATATATATATGTTTTTAAATGTTAAAAAAATATATTTGTAATAATAAACACATTTGTGTTTCTCGTGTAGGACTCTCCGTTAGAGAGTAACGTTCAGGGGTTAAGTTGGTGTTTGATATGTGGGGGAGCTCTCTGTGGAGGTGCGAGGGTTTATATTAAATTATTAATATATAAACAAAAGGTTTAGAAATATCCAACCTTCAAATGACTATTTTAAATCAACGTTGCTCTGCACACTTGCTGAAGATCATTTGTGTGGAGATCTCAGTTCATTTGTAGAGCTGCACGAGTATAGCACACACACACACACCACACACACACACCACACACACACACCACACAACACACACACACACACACACACACACACACACAACACACACACACACACACACACACACACACACACACATACACACACATACTCACACAACACACACACACCACACACACACACACCACAACACCACACACATTATACACATACACACCACACACACACACACCACACCATACACACATTACACACACATACTCACCACCACACACACACACATACACCACATTACAACACACCCACATACACACACCACACACACACACACACACCACACACACCCACACACACACACACACACACACACACCACACACACACACACACATGGACCTTAAATAAAGTATCTATTAAGAACGAGAAAAGTTTTAACATATATATAGTTTTTAGTAAACATGTGAGAAGTGTGCGAGGGTGATGACGTCAGAGCATCGTCCTCTGGGCTGAGCCCTGGAAACGTTACACGTGTTTATTTTGTTGTTGCTATGTTTCTTAAGATATTTAAAATGGCACGGTCGTAAACATTAAATTAATCCATTTGATAATATGTAATCAACTTAGGCACCCTCCCATAGAAACAATAATCATTACAATACAGATATTCATAACTCATATTCCAATACCTGAATCATTTTGAATATTGGATGAATCATTCCCATCCCTAATTCAAACCCTGTTTGACTCTGATCAGATTATTAAACCTGGAGTTATTTCTAACAGGAACTTTGTTTTCTAAAGTTACATCATGTTTTCTTTATTCAGTCTGAGGAGCTGCAGGTTGTCAGAGATCAGCTGTTCTGCTCTGGCCTCAGCTCTGAAGTCCAACATCCATCTGAGAGATCTGGACCTGAGTCTCAACGCTCTGCAGGATTCAGGAGTGGAGCTGCTGAGAGATCTTCTGGAGAGTCCAGACTGCAGACTGGAGACCCTCAGGTCAGTGAGGGGTCTCTGCTGGTTCAGCAGTATTGTATGAAACTCAGGGAGGTGTTTCTCTCTCTGGGGAACAGATCAGTGATGTTACCCACTGACTGCAGGCTCTTCCATTCTTCCATCAACTAGAGAAGGCCAGCTGGAAATGCAAACCCTCACTTTAGTAATCTACTCTCTGACAGACATGTGGGGTTTACAGAAGAGAGGGAAAGGTAGTCTGTTCTTATGGGATGTTTTTAGTTTCTAATGACTGGTTACTTCCTGTCAGCTGAGAGCTGAGGCAGGCAGTCGTAGTGTTTGCAGAGAAGATATGATGGGATGTAAAGCATGAGATCAGGACTCTGAAGCTGACTCAAAGAACTAACTCTTATTTTAAACTGGATCTAAAGCTGTTGGATTGTGTTCATCCCTACAGGATCCGAGGAGAGACGATCAGAGCCAAGATCCAGAAGACCTGTGAGTACTGAATATCCTCCATTCATCCAGATATGAGACTCTTTAATGGAGCATGAGCTCAGAGGAAAACAACACTCTGGTTTCTCTCTTCATCATCTTGTCTGTTTCTCTTCATGTTTTATCATCATCATCATTCTCTCTCTCTCGCTCCTTCTCCTCTCAGGTGACAGGAAGTGAAGACACACAGGAAGGTGAGAGGTCGTACCAAGTGAACTTTATTTATTGAGGTTTCCCTACAGATTAAAATGTAGTTACTGGTCAGTGTTTTCTGGGATTCAAGAGAAATCTGCAGCTCAGGTTTTATTTGTTCACAGTTTATTTATCACGGGGCGAGTTTGAGACGTACAGAGGAGCGTGGAGACATTTAGGAAAGTATGAAAGAAGGCTGCAGCTGAGACTTCCTGTTGGCTGTCCTCAACATTAAATGAACAAAAACAATCAATTGTACTTAAAGCTTTTCTTAAGAACAAAGATGTGTCACCATAACCTGAACGTACATTTTTAAATGAATAAATATATGTAATTATATATCAGTTCATCTGCTGTGATCAATGTCTCACGCTCTGCTGTGATTGGCTGGTCCTGCTGTCACATGTTAACTCGTTAATAATCCTTTGGAAATCAACAACGAACTCAGAGGTTCCCAGTAATCTGAATACTTAGCTTTGGTCTTTGGATGTTCTGTTATTGTAGTTTGTGTTCGTTGAGCTGGAGTTGAGCTAACTCTGTTTCATAACTCCAGGCTCCAGTGTTCTTCTCACCTGAACACACACCTGGATCTTCATACAGCTGATCCTCTAACACGACCAAACACTACTTCAATAATATCTTTATATAACCATCCTTCTTTCATTTCATGCCATGTTTGCACACGTCTGCACAGCCCTCCACTTTAAAGCAGGGCCGTTTCTTCCTATAGGCGGACTATGCGGATGCCCACTAGGGGGCCCCCGTGCCCACTAGGGCCCCCAAGCTGAAAGTTCAGGTTCAGCCTCAATATGTTTGGGGAGAATTCAAATGAGCCGTCTTTATTTGTAGACAGCCCCCTCCTGTGTTCAGTGAAGCATTATATCCTTAAGAATCAAATGTAGGATATAAACACAACTAAACTGCAACGATAGCAAAGCTGAGGCTTGTGTTTGTGGGGATCAATAACGTCCAAATCATCGTTGGGCTGTCAGCCAATGAGTGACGTCTGAGGAAGATGAGAAATGTAAATTTTACATTGCTGAGAAAATGCTGCATCTCTTGCATTTATTGACGTAGAGGAGCCTTTTGTTTGGCTTTTTAATATACTTTTTTGTAAGTTTCAATTGCTTGTTTTTAGTGAAATTAGCCTGTTTTCCTCTTAGAGTGTAACAGATTGATGCGTCTCAACCAGTGTTGGGCAAGTTACTTCCAAAATGTAATATATTACATATGACTTATTACTCTCTTTTGAAAGTAATAAGTTACATTACAATATTACTGTCTCTGAAATGTAATTAGTTACACTACTTTAGTTACTTTTGAGTTACTTTCACCAAAAATAACCGCAAAAGAATGGCTAGTTATTTTAAATGCTGAAATGTAGTTTAGTGCAGCTCATTATACATCCAGTGAAGGGCAATGTGGTATAGCATAACAACTGTGTAGGCCCTTAAGGCTACTAACAAACTTGTATTACATGGCTTAGTTGAATACATTACATTACATTACATTACATTGCATTTAGCTGACGCTTTTCTCTAAATAAGTACATTCGACCAGGAAGACACAACCTTGAAGAAAACAGAATCATATAATTACATCAGGTTTCATAGAGCCAAACATTTCAAGTGCTACTCAACTGGCTTTAGGTAAGCCAGTCCTTTATTAGTATAAAAGTAATACTCAATTCTGATTGTAAATTCTTAACATGTGACACGTTGTTAATACAGCAGTACAGACCACTGTCAAGGACTATAATGAAGGTTGCTAAGGAGGATCAAGAAAGAGAAAGGAAAAGAGGTTAAAAGACGGAGCGCTGGACGTCAGATAAATCACCAGAAGAAGGCAGAGAGGAAGTAAACAATAACAGGACACGGAATGGGCTCTGTAGTTGGTTTAGTATATGGCCGTGTACAGGCCCGGTTCCAGAACAAAATGACTCAGGGTGCCTCTGAGATTACAGGGGGCGCAGCAGTAGTAGGTTTGCATGAGCAATAGTGGCATTGATGGTCCCCAATGAACACATTATGGCATTTGTTATGTTTTGAAACCAAGCAAGTGAGAACATTTCAAGTGAGTTAAAAGTGCAATCCTGAAATATTTCATATAGTCCAAAGTGGACTGTGGCAAAGAAAAGCACAAAAGCTTCAAAACTGTAGTGATAAAACAAATGAGAACATATTGTAAATCAAGGCACATATTATTTAAACCAGCTCATGGTTTGAAATGGCAAACATTGAAAAGCAAAAGTATTATTAAAACCATGTACTAAATCATCACTTTGGTCCCAACAAGAAAAAGGCGGCGATTGGCTCGTTTGGTTCTCTTCTTCCAGATTGTCCATAACATCTCAGCCATTGATGCATCAATGTACCTAGAGCCAGTTAGAAGAAGTGCAACCCGCAAAGCCAACTCTTTGAACTTCGAGCGAATTTTCGCAATAGTGACACTCTTAAATACTCCTTCTTTCCGAGAACAATCAGAGAGTGGAATTTGCTACCATTAGAAGCTGTCATCGCAGAAACCGTGGAGTGCTTCTGGCAAATTTTAAGAGACATTTAGCGGGGATCATCCATCCCCCACTGAGCGTGATACCTCTGGGTTCTGCTCAGTATTAATCCAGATCCAGATCCAAATATACTCTGGGAAGAGAATATTTACTGTGCTTGAAAACTGGATCACATCATCATGTGAGGTTGACTTTGTGACCTGGAGAACATTTCAGCTGCAACATTAATTTGTTGATAAGCTTGGGATATGAGATCTTTTTGTAGCCATTCGTGGTGAAGGCATCTGTGCTATTGTATGCATTATTTTTGACCCAACATTTCTACAGGCATGGCAGAATATGGCACTATTTTCACATGAATATTCCATTGTCCATCATTTGTATACCACGAGCTGCAAAATGACCGCCTAACCCCACTGTACAGGCGGGTACTTGTTTAGATATACCTGGGCAGGCTCTGTTTTGCCGTGGTATCCTGGCACCTGCGGGCCGCAGAGGGGCTGCGTAGTTTGGGGAGACGAAGACTGCTGCTCCGGGGGCGAGGGCGGCGAGTCAGGCGGGAGTAAGCTAGTGTCCACAACGGAGGGTAACGTGATGTCCCCATCTGACCTGTTGCTACTGTCTGCAGTAGATGCAGTGTTGCTGGGGCATGGGGCCCCCAAACAGCATCTTGCATGGGGCCCCCAAACAGCTAGAAACGGCCCTGCTTTAAAATACAACTCTCTATAGTTTTACATATATTGTCATATTTTCATTCTGCTAATTGTTGTAGCTTTTAAGGGTTCTTTGTATATTTACATTTATATTTGGTGTAGATACTTGTCTAATTATTTTTTTAATTGTAAATAGTTTCTTAAAAATACTTATTTTTATTATCTTTATATTTTTGACCTATTGCAACTTATTTTCTTATGTTGTTTATGTTCGCGCCACCAGACACTAAATCTACTTCCTTGTGTGTGTAAACGTACCTGTTGTTAATAAAGGTGGTTCTGATGAGGGACTGCATTCAGAAGAACCTCTGCTATACAGTAAACTAACCTAGGATGGTGTCAGCCTAACATACACATTCATACGTTCAGATAACAGGTTCAATTTAAATACTCGGGTAGAGCACAAGTACATCAAAATGGTACTTTAGTACAGCACATGAGTATATATACTCAGTTCCTTCACACCACAGTACAGAGAGGTGAGAGCAGATCAGGGAGTATTGATCCAGTGAGAACAAATACTCTCCTATCAGTTGAAGAAGCCCGTCTACAATCTACTGCTGGTTTTGTAACCAAAGTATTTCCCTGTTTCTCTTCCAGGTCCCAGAGGGCTACCTGTTGACCCGTGTCCATCTCAAAATGGTCCCCAGGCATCCCATAATCCTGCGTTTGGGGGGGAGACGTTCTCCCTGTAATCAAAGCACTGGTTCTCTTGGAGACACTCTCAAAGTCTTTGAGGACAAAGTCAGAAAAAGCCAAGAAGAAGAAATGATTTGAGCTCTTCTTTGTGTTCATCACCCCGGGTTCATTTAAAGGTCTCCTATCAGGCAAAAGTCACTTTGTGATGTCTTTTATACATAAACATGTGTCCCCGGTGTGTCAGGAGACTCACAAAGTGTCAGGAAATAAAACCCTTCTCTTTTCCTCCATACCCACATCTAAAAAAACATGAAATACATGCATACCAAGTTACTGCTAACAGTGTAGTTCCCTTATGTTGTTCACTTGAAATGTATAAAGAGAGACTTGGCCTTTATAATTTGGAATTGAAAAACGCACGACAATCGTTCTTCTCTGACATCATTACCAAAAACAAAAACAATGCACGTGCCTTGTTTGCTACCGTCGACAGACTAACTAACCCCCCAGTGTCAGTAGCCTCTGAATTTCTATCCACCAGGGCGTGCAATGATTTTGCCTTCTTCACTGACATAATTCAGAAAATCAGACAAGCAGTCAGTGCCTCTGCATCAGGAACAGCAAATGTGTTGTCTCTGTGTCCACTTAACATCAATTCAAACACCATGACACAGTTTCCATCAGATTAATGATAAAAACCTAGAGGACATTATTCAACTTCTGAAATCCTCCTCCTGCTGCCTTGATATTATTCCAACAGGGTTTTTTCAAAGATGTTTTGCCTTGCATGGCCTCAGATCTACTTCATATAGTAAACAAGTCTCTTCACTCAGGTATTTTTCCACAGGCCCTGAAAACTGCAGTTATTAAACCACTCTTAAAAAAGAATATCTAGATGCTTAAGTAATGAACAATTACAGGCCCATATCAAACCTCCCATTTCTAGGTAAGATCATTGAAAAAGTTGTTTTTCAACAGTTGAGTAATTTCTTGCATTTAAATAGTTGTTTCGATGTGTTCCAGTCAGGCTTTCGTCCAAACCACAGCACTGAGACTGCTCTTGTAAAGGGTCTTCAATGACATCCACTTAAACACAGACAGTGGCAGAACTTCAGTGTTAGTATTATTAGATCTCAGTGCTGCGTTTGACACTGTTGACCACAGCATATTACTAGACCGACCGGAAAACTGGGTGGGACTTTCGGAAACAGTTCTGAATTGGTTTGAATCCTACTTAAAGGACAGAAACAACTTTGTTTCTATAGGTAAATACACATCTGAGTTGACAAATATGACATGTGGGGTTTCCTCAAGGCTCCATCTTGGGGCCTCTTCTCTTTA